GCAGAAGATAAAACAAAACCACATTTTCTCTCACTTCATCAATCCTATCATAGTTGTAGGTCACACTTTCAGTTTTATACTCAGTGACCACATCTTGGAAGTATTCACCTTGAACCCAAAACAAATGATCCATACACAATACAAACAAAAATAACCAACAATCACCTCTTCAATTCCAAAATCTCTGTACTCAAATCACTCTTTCAAAATCTCTCACCTACCCACTACTAAAAGCCACAAAACTCCTACACCCAATTATTCAAATACATTATAGAAGAAAATCAAAGTCGCAGTTTTGACACTCACCCACAAAACTTTACCCTGCAATTCAATCATCATGATATCATAATGAAACAAAGCTTGCAGTTTGGCGGGTAACAATTCAATACTAACCTGAAACTGGTTTGCCCTTTGTATTTTGTTGCAAAGAATCAGTAAAATTTAAATGCCCACATTTGAAAGTTTGGATCTTGCGATGTTGCAGTAGAGTAGAGTTCGTTGAGTGAAGTTGACGAAAGTTTGGATCTTTAGCTAAGAGAGAGAGTTGAGTGAAGTTGAAGTCTCTGATCAAAACTAGTTATTGTTAAATATTTTGTCACTATTTCTTTTTTTACTGGTTTCATCTCTTGATATTTTATCCCACTCGTTCCCTAGGCGCGTGTATGTAATCACGCGTACGAAAAATATATATTATTTTTATTTAAAGAAAAATGATGTCTTAATAAATGAATTTTTATTAAAAATTATCTCATTTACTAAATTTATTCCAACAATTGGTCCAATTTCCAAGTAATTTTGGTAATTTTGATATATTAGATTTGATCCAATGTTCTGAAATTCAATGTGATTGAATATATATTGATGAATATGGATATTATTAATTAGTTTAGCTTGTGAAAATTAAAACCATAAAGACTGATAGAATTGAGTTTTGTTTACTCCATGGTTGAAAGCAATTGAATTTAGTTTACGAATTATGAATTTTATGTAATATTTGAGGGTTTTTTTTCCACCCGTGAGAGATCAACTAATCTTTTGCCACACCCAAAGCTTTGCGAAAGTATTATATATCCCCCTAACGTTAAAACGGTGGTTTAAAAAGTCAACGAACGTCAACTAAAGCAAGATTATTTTGGTCATTTTCCTTGTCTCTCAACCCTGAGTCACAAGATGATATTTGAAGATTAGAAACCCTTTTGTTTGCCGATTTGCGATGATGGATGATTGTGGTTGAATCGTATGTGTCGATGGTCGGATTCATGGATATTAGGTGGTGGCGAGATTCATGGATGTTAGGTGGTTATTTCAGCTGTTGGTATGGTCAGGGGCGGATCCAAAGTGTATTAAGGGTGGGCCATGGCCCACCCTCAATTTTTAAAAAATAAAAATTAAATACATTTTTTCATTTAGTTTGACTTTGGCCCACCCTTAATTTTTATTGTCAAATATTAAAAAATTGTGGCCCACTCTCAATTTTAGAACTAAAAATTTTTGTTTGGCCCACCCTAATAAAGATTTCTGGATCCGCCCCTGGGTATGGTTGAATGTTATGTGTGCATGTTCTGGCGGGATTCAAGGATGTGCTCCGGCAATGCAACCTGAGCAGTTTGTGTGCAGCTACTGCGTTGCGACGCAAGCCCCGGCGTGGGGCTGTCACTGCCGTCAGCAGCAGCTGCAAGGCCTAGTGGCATGGCAGCTAGGGTTTCCCTTTTTGAGTAAAAGATGAAGCCCAACCTGCAGGGGCCAAACTGTCAGTTTCCAAACCTGCCAAATGAATTTTATTGAAAAAACAATTTTTGTTCAAATGAATTTAAAAAAAAAAAAAATTGTAAATTGAATTTGTTAGAAAAAATTGTTAAAATGATTCTTTTGAAAATTAAGTTTGATAAAATGAATTTGCTTAAAAATTAAGGATATAATAATTATTTTATGTATTAAACGTAAAAAGAACGATAAAATGAATTTATTTACGGAAAACATTTGGTAAAAGGAATCTGTTCCGTTAAAAAATGGTAAATAATGTAAAGGTTAAAATGGACTTTTACATTAAAATTGGAAGTACTCCAAATTGGATGGTATTTAACTGACAGTAGGGGAATATTAATTCTTTTCCAAAACCTTTGGTGTCGTTCTATTAGCTGATCTTTCAGGCCGGTGAAAAAACACCTTAATATTAAAATTAAAAGAATATTATTATTATTTTTTTAGGGTCAGCGGTTGATGGACACGAAATATGAAGAGCGTGAGAAATGAGTAGCGGAAGACAATCTACCCAATTTTAGTTGTCCTAAGCCTATCATCTGGGGATATAAGAAAGAAGCAAGACAAAGACACACAAACTAAATTTTTATTATTTAATAATATTAATATTAATACTTGATCCAATTAACACGACGATGGTCCAGGCCTTCAAAATATTTTTCAAATAAAATTATATATCAAATTAAATATTGTATTCCCCATCTCAGAAAATCATCGTAACGTACAAAAAAATGTGACTGAAACTTCAATATAAATCGATTTCTCAAACAAAAACAGAGCACTCTGTATATGTTACAGTTCAATGAAAGAATATAGCAAATCAATATCATCAAACAAGAATGTGTATTTGCTACTTCATAATTAATTTTAGCATAAGAATAAAAAGTTTTACTTTCTTGTATACAAAGAAAAAGAACTGTTGTCCACAATTGTTAATGAAGGATGCACAATTTGTAAAACCAGGTGAGTATCGCCTAATGAATCATTGAGATATCTTATTTCTCTCTGCCATTCAAAACAGCTTTGAAAATTTAAACATCAGAGTGTTCTCGTCGAAGAAACTTGTGGCAGTAGTCCTAATCGAGCTTTGTTTGCAGGTAGAGGCCTCGATTGATCAGCTTTCAGTTTATCAGCAAAGCTTCCCAATGTAAATTAAACTCTGTATTGTGAATGGTGCATAATCTGCCAATAACTATAAATGTTCAAAATCATAATTAGCAATCTTGTTCAAAAATAAAGAAAGGTATAGTTGCACAATGTGACTAAGAAAAGTTTTCTTTTTGCCTTAAAAACAAATACAGAGAAAGAATCGGTGTAAATTACGCAAATATGAGGAAGCTCACCAAACAATCAAATGTTATACCACAAATGTGCGAGAGCTTGTTTGATCAACTGCAACTTCTTCTGTTTCACAAACATGAATGAACTTTCTGCCATTGTTGTGGCCTTAAGTAGTTCTAGTGCTTCACTAGTGACTGCAAGAGAACAATAAATTTTCAGTATTAACTATGGATTTGTCCTGCGTCAAAAAAAAGTTTAAGCAGTCACATAATGTTGTGATACGCTTCCAAATTCAACATCCACAATGTTGGATTGAAATCGTAAAAAGAAACTTACACTTAAATGGTGCAAAAATGATAGACATTTTTTTCTCTTTCTGCATAATATAAATTTTCTGTAGATGGATACTGATGCCTAGTTTAAATTAGATGAAAGAGAATCAAATTACTTAGAATGAGATGTTCTTTTTTCATATTCAAAGCAATGTATAAAAACATGATTTTGTGAAGCTCGTGTCATACTTCACCTTTGATATTGATTCTAAAAGAAAACCAAGGCAAGTTAAACTTGTTCCACTACATTAGAGGGAAGTGTAATTTCAGATTTTCAGTATTAACCATGGACTTGTCCTGCATGAAAAAAAGTTCAACCAGTCACACAATGTTGTGATGTGCTTCCAAATTCAACATCCACAATGTTGGATTGAAATCGGGAAAAGAAACTTACACTTCAGTGGTGCAAAAACCATAGACATTCTTTTCTCTTTCTGCATGATATAAATCTTCTGTAGATGGAATCTGATGCCTAGTTTAAATTAAGTGAAAGAGAATCAAATTACATAGAATGAGATATTCTCTTTTCAGATTAAAGGGAATGTATAAAAGCATGATTTTGTGAAGCTTGTGTCATACTTCACCTTTGAGACTGATACATCATGGCAGGTTAAACTTGCTCCACTACATCAACGGGAAGTGTAACTTCAGATTTTCAGTATTAACCATTGATTTTTCCTGCATGAAAAAAAGGTTAACCAGTCACACAATGTTGTGATGTGCTTCCAAATTCAACATCCACAATGTTGGATTGAAATTGGGAAAAGAAACTTACACGTCAGTGGTGCAAAAACCATAGACATTCTTTTCTCTTTCTGCATGATATAAATCTTCTGTAGATGGAATCTGATGCCTAGTTAAAATTAAGTGAAAGAGAATCAAATTACTTAGAATGAGATATTCTCTTTTCAGATTAAAGGGAATGCATAAAAGCATGATTTTGTGAAGCTCGTGTCATACTTCACCTTTGAGATTGATTCTAAAAGAAAATCATGGCATGTTAAACTTGCTCCACCACATCAACCAGAAGTGTAATTTCAGATTTTCTTAACCAGAAAAGGCTTTCCAAAATCCTAATAAGCGAAAAAGATAACCAGAAGGTCGAAAACAAACCTCAATAAGCCATAAAAGGATCTCATTGGAGAATTTACTCCACACAAAAGCTGCATAATTTATTCAGCAGGAGAGCAGTTATCAGTATATATATGTTAACATTTGATAATTTTAAATGTTTGATTTTTGAAAGATCTATAGCTTTAGCTAACATTCTAAAAGTCATACCTGCCATTGATTGTTTAATTTGATTGTGAAAGGGTAGCATGCAGCAGTATCCAATTCTATTTTTTCTTCTCTCACCTTCTACTCCCGTAGTTGGACATATTTCAATTTGGGGAAGAAGAATAACTGATGAACAAAAGAACTGTCAATCTTCCTAAAAATCTCATCCCCAATAAAATAGAGCCACAAAACATTAAACTTTCTTTCACGACCTAATACAAAATTAAGGGTGCTAGTTTATTAAACTGTCCAAAGACTTTTTTTTTTTTTTTGGGGGGGGGGGGGTGTGGGGAGGAGACCATACATGGAAAACCAAAGCAGAGCTCAAACAGGTCACATTGTAAGCATTTAGTCCATCTTCCCCAGGTCACATTGTAAGCATTTAATCAATCTTCCCCTCCCCTGCAACATTAAACATGATCAAGTACAGCATTTGAAATGAAGCATAAACGAACTATATTGAATATCAATTACCAGTCACCTGGTTTCTTGTTTCATTGCATAAATGGGAATACCAAATTAGCCTCAACCTGAAAACGTAATGGAAATTTCTTCTGAGGCTGTAAAAATAGAAAAACATATATTCAATGATTGACCACATTGAACTTCAATTTCAAAGTTGTAAGTAAACTTTGCAGCATAAGCATTTATACCCAGAAAACTTAAAATACGTAATATATCTCAAAAAAATAATTGAAACAGAGCCTATTTACTTATTACCTGTGGCTTGTGTAGTGATGGTTATTGCTCTCCTTGCACATTTCGACAATCAATGTAGAGATTAGCGATCTGAGAGATCTTGGGCCAGTCCTCCCCTGTTTCCTTCTCGTATCGTAAATAATGTGAAGGTTTAAATAGACTCCCACTCAAAATTCGAAGTACCCCAAAAATTAGCCAATGAAACCCTAGCTTGCAAGGCTAATTTATCAGTTTCCAAATTTAATTTAATAAATATTTTAAAAAATAAAATTTGGTAAATGAAGAAAAGGGTAAAATAGACTTTTTATCCTATAAATTGGATGGAACCCTGGTATATAACTGACGGTAAGGGAATATGTAGTACCTTTCCAAAACCTTGGGTGTGGCTATATTAGTTGATCTCTCAGGGATGAAAAATAAAAACCCTAATATTAAAATTAAAAGAATATTGGGTGCGTTTGGTTTAGTATTTTGGATAGGATTTTAGGGATAGTATTGGGTTATTGGATATGGGAGTATTACGAGGTAAATTTTAAAAATTTATAAAAAAGCCCTTAGGTTTACTAATTTAACTAAAGACCCTAACATGTAAAATGACAAAAACACTCCCACCATCTGCAGTGTCAGATTCCGGCCACCACCGCCGGAATCTGGCCGGAAAATTTCGTTACGGCACAGACTTGTCGGATCTGTGCCGTAACACGTCGTTATGGCCTTTTCCGGCTAGATCCATGGTGGATCTGGCCGGAAAAGGCCAGATCTACAGTTTGTTTTGGCCGTCGACGGCCGGAAAATGCCAAACGACGGCCATCTTTGGCCGTCGCTGACGGCCAGATCCGTGGTGGATCTGGCCGGAAAAGGCCACAGCGGTGAACTTCCGGCCATTTCTGGTCGGAAGTTTGGCCGTTGTACAGATTCCGGCTATCACCGACGGTGGTGGCCGGAATCTGACAAGTTGGGTTGATGGGGGTGTTTTTGTTAATTTTTAAAGTTTTTTTTCAGGGGGTATTTAGTGAAATTAATAACATTATGGGGTTAAAATGTAATTAAAAAAAATAGGGTAATATTTTGAGAATATTGTACCAAACGCTATTTGAAAAATAGGATCCAGAATAGGGATAAAAATATTACACCAAACGCAGCCATTATTATTATTTTTTTAGGCCCAGCGGTTGATGTACACGAAACATAAAGTGCGTGAAGACAATCTGCCCAATTTTTGTTGTCTTAAGCCTATGGTTTTGGGACAAAGACACAATCTAAAATTTTTATTTATTTAATTTAATTTAATGTTAATATTAATATTAATATTTGATCCAATTAACATGGCAATAGTACAGGCCTTAAAATATTTTTCAAATAAAATTATAGTTTATATCAAATTAAATTTTGCAATAGATAACATCTTTTCAACTATCATCAAACAAGAATGTGAATTTGCTACTTGATAATTCATTTTAGTTGTAGAATAAAAAGTTTTACTTTCTTGTATACAAAGAAATAGAACAATTGTTAATGAGAGATGCACAATTTGTCTAACCAGGTAAGTTTCGGCTGTTAATCATATGGAGACGTCTCATTTCTCTCTACCATTCAAAACAGCTTTGATCATCTAAGCATCGGAGTGTTTTCATTGAAGAAACTTGTGACAGTAATCCTGATCGAGCTTTTGTTTGCAGGCAGGGGCCTCGATTGATCAGCTTTCAGTGTATCAGAAAAGCTCCCAATGTAAATTAAACTCTGTATTGTGACCAATGCATAATCTGCCAATAAATATAAATGTTCAAAATCATAATTAGCAATCTTCTTTTTGCACAATGTGATTGAGAGAAGTTTTCTTTTTGCCCTCGAAACAAATACAAAGAAAGAATCGGTATAAATTATGCATATATGAGGAAGCTCACTAAACAATTTACCACACAAGTTTGTTTAATCAACTGCATCTTCCTTTGTTTCACCAACATGAATGAACTTTCTGCCATTCTTATTGCCCTAAATAGTTCTAGTGCTTTATTAGTGACTGCAAGAGAACAAAAGTTTAACCAATCACACAATGTTATGATGTGCTTCCAAATTCAACATCCACAATGTTGGATTGAAATCGGGAAAAGAAACTTACACTTCAGTGATGCAAAAATGATAGACATTCTTTTCTCTTTCTACATCATATAAATCTTCTCTAGATGGAATCAATTAGATGAAAAAGAATCAATTTACTTAGAATGAGATATTCTTTTTTATGTAAAAACATGATTTTGTGAAGTTCGTGTCATACTTCACCTTTAAGATTGATTCTAAAAGAAAATCACGGCATGTTAAACTTGCTAGCTCCACTACATCAAAGGAAAGTAGATTTTCTTAATCAGGAAAGGCTTTCCGAAATCCTAAATAAGTGAAAAAGCTAACCAAAAGGTCGAAAACAAACCTCAATAAGCCATAAAAATATCTCATTGGAGAATTTACTCCACACAAAAGCTGCATAATTTATTCAACAGCAAGAGACAACAGTTATTAGTATATATATGTAAACATTTGAGGATTTCAAAAGTTCGAAATTTGAAAGATCTATAGCTTTAACTAACATTCTAAAAGTCATGCCCGCCGTTGATTCTTTAATTTGATTGGGAAAGGGTAGCACGTAGCATCTATTCTTTCTTCTCTCATCCTTCTACTCCCGTAGAATTACTGATGAACATAAAAACTGTCGATCTTCCCAATAAAATAAAGATAAAACAGAGAGCCACAAAGCATTGAACTTTCTTTCTCCACCTAATACAAAATTAAGGGTGCTAGTTTGGGATGACTATTAAACTTTCCAAAGACTGCATCTCAAAAATAAATAATTTTTTAAAAAAAAAAAAAAAAAAAAAGGAGAGCTTACATGGAAAATCAAAGCAGAGCTCAAACAGGCCACATTGTAAGCATACAAAATCAATCTTCCCCTCCCCTGTAACGTTAATCATTATCAAGTATAGCATTTGAAATGAAGCATAAAAGAAATATATTGAACATCAATTACCAATCAGATGGTTTCTTGTTTCATTGCATACTTGGTAATACCAAATTAGCCTCAACCTGAAAACGTAATGGAAATTTCTTCTGAGGCTGTAAAAACATTAACACATATATTCAACAATTGACCACATTGAACTTCGATTTCGAAATTGTAAGTAAACTTTGTAGCAGAATTATTCATACCCAGAGAACTTAAAATACCAGAGAATAACGTTACATAACCAATAATTTGACCAAACAATGTTATCGTTTTCTTAGATTATAAATAAACTCTAATTAAAAAAACAGAGCCTAATTGCTTATTACCTGTGGCTTGTGTGGTGATCGTTATTGCTCTCTTTGCACATCTCGACAATCAATTTCGATATTAGGGATGCGAGAGATCTTGGGCCAGTCCTTTCCTGTTTCCTTGTTGTATCGTTCACTTAGAATAGGACTTTCACTAAACCTCAATATCTTGAGTGTTGTCCTCTGCAGAAGGCTGTCTGGCAGTGCCTTTAACTTGGGGCAGCGTACAATACTCAACCTAGCAAGATATGGCATGAATTCCTCTCCCTTGCAATGCCACTCTTCCCATTCTTTCATGTCCCAAAATCTGAATTCTTTCAACTTGGGAAAGTGAATAGACAATGAAGATGATGATGAGGTCTCACTGTCTATTCCCCAAAAATCATTATCCACTTTTTTCACACTGGACATTGCTGTTAAATCTAGTAATTCAAGCAATGGCAACTTTCCCAAATGATGCAAATGCTTACAGTTCGAGCAAACCGAAAAACTTAACACCTTCAGTTTGGTTAACGTCATCCAACTGGAGGGAAATGTGTTGCCTCTGTAGTACAATAGCGATAAATTCTCTAAATTTGGCGGTGGTTGTAAGATTTTAAGGATTAGTTCATCATCCTCGCCTAATCTTTCCCCTTCTTCACGTTCATCAAATTTTAATATCAACACTGAGAGTTTTTCCTTTTTCTTAAATACTTCTGTCAGTTCACCATCGCTCACATTTCTTAAATTTCCCAACCCTCTAACTGTAAGGCTCCCTTCAAGTTGATTCAAATGTTTCAATCCTTCAAGTGGACATGCTTTGTTATCATGATCACCTCCGCCACTTATAACGAATTCACTTAATCTTCGAAGACCGGTTAATTTCTCAATCCCTTTTGGCATGTAAAGTAGTGTAGAAGAAGAAGTTTCAATTTGCAAACGCCTCAAGTTTACTAGTTTTACCATCCCTCGAGGTAATTCTTTGATCACGCCACGCAAAAAACTAAAAGTGTGTAAATTATATAATTCACACAAAATTTCAGGTAATTTTATTGTATATTGCTTAAGTTGGTCATAAAATTTAAGGTGTCTCAAATGTATTAATTTTCCTATCTCTTTTGGAATCTCTTCAAAACTAAATTGAGCATTTACCTCTAATGCCCGTAAACATGTCAATTCATTAAATAACCCCGCTAAAACATCACTAGTCAAGGAATCAGTGCCAAAAATTTTATATGTAAGTAAGAGACTACGTAGCCATTTGAATCTACAAGTAGATATAGGAAATGAAGCCCCAACTCCATTAAGAGTTAAAAATAAATGACGAACTTTGTCATGAGAAGAGTTTCTAAATGGGTCCTCAGCACCATGAACTTCTACATAAAGACATTCATCATTACCTAAAAATTGTGCAAAGTTGTGCACTATATCATGCATCTTATAACTATAAGATTTATTCTCTTGTAAGAGAGATCTTGTCACTAAATACTCAGAATACACTTTACCAATTATCTCCTCTTTCTCAACATCTTTTTCTAACCCTAGATAACCTTGAGCTCTCCATAAGTCAATCAACTCATCTTTAAATAAACAATCATAATTTTTTGGAAAGATGGAACAATATATAAAACACCGTTTTGCCATTGGAGGTAAATCATTATAACTCAACATCAAAGGGGTTAAAAGACCTTTGTCAACATTTTCCAATTTCCACAATTCACTGTCTAAAACACGTTGCCATTGGTCTTTACATTTTTTAAGCCGCAAGAGATTCCCAACAGTTTTTGTAGCAAGAGGTAACCCCTTGCACTTCCCTACTATTTTCCTACCAATTTCTTCTAAATTTGCACACTCATCATGAGATCTTTTAGAAAAAGCTAACTTTCTAAACAATAACCAATTCTCCTCATAGGACAATTCCTCAACATTGATAATATCAAATGAATTCATCATATGTGCAACAGACTCTTTACGTGTGGTAATTAAAATTTTACTTCCATGGAGACCATTCTTTAAACAATTATAGAATGGTTCCCATTCCTTGTAATCTTCGGTCCATACGTCATCTAAAATAAGGAGAAATTTTTTATTCTTAATAGAGTTACAAATACATTCAAGAAGAGATTGTAATTCTACTACATTAGGAGTACAACCTTCCAGAGATTCAATAATCGCTTTGGCAATCCTAATATCATCAAAAGGGTTTGATACACACACCCATATTCTTTTATCAAAATTTGTCTCTACCTCCTTGTTATTGTAGGCAAATTGAGCAAGAGTTGTTTTTCCAATTCCCCCCATCCCCACGAGTGAGATGACATGGAGGCTTTGTTCACTACTCTTACGCAACAACTTGCTTACTAAATTATTCTTCTCCTTATCTCTACCACATATATCAGAGACATCAATAAATGAAGTAGTTTTCATTTGTTGATGATCAAATTTCTCGATAGCTAGAATCACATTAAGATGATAATCATTTTTCTCTTTGACTATAACATCTAGCTTTTTATTTGTATTTTTTATCTTAACTGCAATGTCACGGCGTAAAACAACTTCTTTGAAACCAAAGCAAGGAGAGGGAATGAAGCAACACACCTTCTTCTTAGGAGCAAGTGCATTATGATCATGACCTCTCTCAATTCGCAATTTCAAGATTGCAGTATTCCACTCATCCAACACATCTTCCACCTCATAGCATACGTCTTTGAGATGATCTAACCAAAGTCTCACAGCTGCTTCCTTCATTTGTTTTGTCTCTGCGTCAAATAGCACAGCTTCAATGGCTCGAAGATTGCGGGTAAGCTTGTCTACTTCTTCTTCAACATCCCCAACTAGGCTCACGTGTTTTCCGATGAAGCTAGACGTCTGCTGAGAAAGAATTGAACCCAGTTGCTCCAAGGCAAAAGAAACAATTGCTTCAGCCATGGTATTGAATGATGAAAGGTAAGAAATATCGAGTTATCAAATGTGTCTGTGTTGTGAAAATTCTACCGTCATTTGTTTCAGATGTTTATAATGCATGGAAAAGCTAAGGAATGTTTTAGCTATTGGGCAAAGTGAAACCTTGCTTTGATGGTGGTTTAGGTATACGTAAAGCTTTCTTCCCAGCTATGCCATTTGTCTTTCCTTTCTTCCCAGCTATTCCATTTGTCTTTCCTTTCGTTTACCTGAAGTTTATTGAAAGCAAATATCTATTTTATAAAGCAAGATTCTGAAGCATGAGTGGAAAGCAAGTAATTGCAGAAAATCAAGAAAAGCACATTCCTGAAAGCTAAAGTAAAGAGGAGGATTTGGATTAATTCCAATGTATCGCGCAAATTCAAATGAACAAAACAGCACAAGAGAGAAGAAGACAACTGAACCAAAGCAAGATTTCGACTGCAAATGATAAAGCAAGGAGCCAGTTTAGTTTTGTTAGGAGTCGTTTGGTGCACAAAATTTATAGTTTTGTATAGGATATAACATTGTATTGTATAATACCATATAAAATATAGTAAGATGTTTGGTATAAATTGTATTGCATTAATTTATCATAATTATTTTTTCAATTAAATTTTTAACAAGTATTCATTGAAATTTAATAGTTCTTTTAAAATTCTAATTCCTTTTATTATTAACCTAAATTTACATAATTCATTTGAAAAATTACGAAAAAAATGAAAAAGAATCATTTATTAATAGTAAGAATATTATATATATATATATATATTTTAATTATGTTATTTTAAATCAATATTTATTTACATATTTTAAAGTAATTAATTAACTTATTACCATCCTTGTTAGATTCCAGGAAAGAACCACAGATATTTTGTCACTAATTTTTGTTTATTTTATTTTTATTGGTTGCATTTGTTGGCATTTTATCCCACTCGTCTTCTAGGTGCGTGTAATGTAATCACGCATATGAAATATATGTTATTAAAATGAAAGGAAACTAATGTCTTTTAACTAAAAGGAAATTTTGAATAAATTACATCATTTATTAAGTTTATTCCAACTAAAAGTCCAGCAAAATATTTGTTTTAAAATTCAATATAATTAAATATTTGTTGATTATAGTTGACGCTTGATTTTGGATGCCAACGACTCGCACATGCAAAGTGCTAAGAGGGCCTTAGAAATTACACGTGATGGATCCATGAGATTTGAATATGGAGCTGAGATTATATATGTTGTAGAAAACATAAATAATAGGCCAACAAGAGAGGTTTTTATAGTGGTTCGGATGCTCAATAAGCGACTCATACATCCACTATTATTTTATTGATCTCTGACTATTTCTATGATATTGCCCATAAGGCATACAAAGATGAAGAAATACAGTGTTTACAGAGAGAAAGAATTGAGCTCTTATCTATGGTTAGCTCTCATATGCCTAGCCCCCCCTCTTTGGGAAGGGAAGTGTCAATTTATACACTTAAACACTCAATGTAACGAGTATTTTGCAAGTTACCTTGACATATGTAAGGCTTTCATCTATTCATTTCTTGAAAGGAGATAGGGTTGGTAAGAATATCTTTGAAGAGATATGGGCTTGGTAGCTAGTACAAAAAAACATTTATTGGTTGAGATAAGCGTGACTTTTTAGGCATAACAGAAACCTCCCAGTTTTTAGAGTGCGTAATCGCGCCTCAGAAACTAAGGTCTTTAATCTGAATGGCTGCAGTCTCGAACTGAAGAGCTCGAACTATTCTTGGCACGATCAAGTGCTGAGAGCTAGGAGCTGATTGCGATCTGTTAGGAGCTCGACCTGAAATTTATTAGGAGCTTGACCTGAAATCTGTTAGGAGCTCGACCTGAAATCTGCTAGGAGCTTGACCTGAAATCAAAACGAGCTCAATTTGAGCAGAGCGAGCTCAACTTGAGAGTAAAACAAGCTCAATTTGAGAGCAAAACGAGCTCAACTTGAGAGCAAAACGAGCTCAATCTGAGCTAAACGAACTCAATTTGAGATCATAGCGAACTCAATCTGAGCAAAACGAGCTAAACTTGAGCTAAACGAGCTCAACTTAAGCTAAACGAGCTCAATCTGAGCAAAATGAGCTTGACCTGAAAGGTCACAACGAGCTCAACCTGAAAGGTCATAACGAGCTCGACCTGAAAAGGTCATAGCGAGCTCGACCTGAAAGGTCGTAACAAGCTCGACCTAAGAGCACAAGAGATCAGCAATCTCAGCGTGTGATCAACGATCTGAACACGTGATTTGAAGCTAACGATCAGCGATCTGAAGCCGAGGATCAGGATGACCTGTGCGTGCGATCTGCGATCTGGCCACGCGATCAGAGAACTCTGACATGTGCGATCTGCGATCTGACCACGCGATTGGAGAATTCTGACACGTGTGATCTGCGATCTGGCCACGCAATCGAAGAACTCTGACTCGTGCGATCTGCCCACGTGATTGGAGAATTCTTGTGCGTGCGATCTGCGATCTGGCCACGCGATTGGAGAATTCTGACGCAGGTTTGAGATCTGAGCACGCCATTAGGGAACTTGGACGCAGGTTTGAGAATCGGACCTGCATGGGCCACCAAACTGTTGACGCTTGATTTTGGACGCCAACGACGTGCACGTGCAAAGTGCTAAGAGGGCCGTAGAAATTACACGTGATGGATCCATGAGATTTGAATATGGAGCTGAGATTATATATGTTGTAGAAAACATAAATAATAGGCCGACAAGAGAGATTTTTATAGTGGTTCGGATGCTCAATAAGCGACTCCTACATCCACTGTTATTTTATTGATCTCTGACTATTTCTATGATATTGCCCATAAGGCATACAAAGATGAAGAAATACAGTGTTTACAGAGAGAAAGAATTGAGCTCTTATCTATGGTTAGCTCTCATATGCCCAGCCCCCCCCTTCGGGAAGGAAAGTGCCAATTTATACACCTAAACACTCAATGTAATGAGTGTTTTGCAAGTTGCCTTGATATATGGAAAACTCTCATCCATTCATTTCTTGAAAGGAGATAGGGTTGGTAAGAATATCTTTGAGGAGATATGGACTTAGCAGTTAGTACAAAAAGACATTTATTGGTTGACATAAGCGTGACTTTTTAGGCATAACAATTATTTTGGATATTAATTAGTTTAGTTAGTGTAAATAAAAACCATAAATATGTGATCTAATTGAATTTTCTTTACTCCATGATTGAAGGCAATTGAATCAAATATACAAATTATGAATGTTTTATCTATGAATCAATAAATTTTAACGAATAAAAAAGCATTTTTAAAATGTATAGCAATTTTTCAAGATTAAAAGAATAGTTTTTATTTTATTTTATTTTTGATGATTGAGAGTGTTTGAATCAGTTTACGCACATCTTAACTAATCCTCCAAAACTCTAAAACTATTAACTGGATAAAAGCTTAAATGATCACCCTTACTAATAATCGTGAAGATTCGAATTCGAGAGTATTTTCTTTTTTTAACCTACAAAAGGCAGCCTTGGATGTACACCAAATGTAAAGAGCGTGTAAAATGAATAGTGGAAGACAAGTTGTCTTTAAGTCTATCAATTTGGGAGATAAAAAAAGGAGTAAGATAAGGACAGAAAAACTAAAATTTTATTTATTTAATAGCATTAATATTTGTTCCAATTAACACGGCAATAGTTCAGGCCTTAAAATTACTTTTAAAATAAAATTATTTATCAGAAAAATATTTTCAGCTAAGCTTTGTTGTATATATAAAGTCAAAATTTGATTTTTCTATCTCACAGGAGAAGATAATGCTCATTCAATAATTTGACATATATATACTCTTCTCAGAAAGCCACCCGTACTGTATTAAAAAAGTCAATATAGAAAAAGCATTTGGGTTTCGGCTGACAAAAACTCAAACTTCAAAGATAAATATCTCAACTTTAATAGTGATATAACACAAAGTCAAAGCATCCGGTCCCCTGGCCGGGTTATCAGACGGTTCGGGTTCCTAAACATTGCTCCGACTATCCTCTTCTTCTTCTCTCTCGCCGTCTGCTTCGACGCCGTTCTCTGACCCCACCTCCCACCGACTCCAAAAACCTTCTTCTTGTTCGATCCTCGCCCAGTCACTGTCTTTCTATCAAAGATGGCGCAAACTCCATTCTCTCTTCTTCTCCTTAAACGCCTCTCTGTCTCTTCAAAAACCGGCAAAAGCCCTAAAACCCATTTCAACTCTCCTTACTTCAACACAAAACCCTTTTCCACTTCTCCATTTCCAACTCCAAACCCCTCCCCTTTAGACTCACAAGCAAAACCCTCTTCACTCTCCGCTCGCATGAGCTTCATCTTTGAACAAATTGACCAAATCGAGAAGCAAAAACATGAAAACGACGAAACTCTACAAAGGATACGCGCTTGGCGCCAATCAAAACAGCAACAAAACCAAGAAGCTGTAACCACCCAACAGGTGCAAAACCCAGAAGTTATTTCTTGTGTGAAAGAAAGCCCGGAAAGGTATTCTGCTGAAAAGCAAGTATTGGTGAGAAACGAGGTGAAGGAGGTGGAGTTGGTTCATCCATGGCCGGAGTGGATTGAATTGATGGAGAGATTGGTGAAGCAGAATTACTTTGATCATAGGAGAAAAGATGAGGACAAAATGGTGAAAGATTTGGGATTTGAAGATGGTGTTGAGGAGAGTGATGTTGGAATTGAATTTGGCAATTTCAGGACTGTTCAGACTGCTTGTATTAATTTTGGGAAGGACCGTTGGATATCTTGAGGTTTACAGATTGAAAAATTCTGCATTTTGAAATGTCTGAAACTGCTTTGGTTCTGCTTGTTATGTTGTGACTAAAATTGTTAGTTAAATGTCTGCATTTAGGACCTATTTAAGTGTTTCTGAATTGCTACTTGTGGTTTTAGTTTAGAATGCTAATTGCAGAACGAATAAACGTAGTTTAGATTGATGGCGTGTATGTGGAGTTGAT